CTAAGAATTTTTTTCTGACGATCTTTTCAGACCACAAATAATTCGCAGGTGCATTAAGCAGCACGTGAATGCTCGCTGACGAGTGATTCATAGATTACTGGAAGCAATCAAGGAACAGCGTTTAAACGAATAACTAATAATAACACTACATTAACATCAGGCTCACCTGTCTATGCTGACTGCTATTTTAATAGAGATAGGGAACTGACTACCACCAATTAAGCTTAATGGAAAACCGGTTCTATATAGTCAACAATAGCGGATGAATGAAAGGATGGGGATATTACTAGATAAATGCCATCCATTCCATACTTTCAATATCCGTTTTTATTCGACTCTGTTAACGGCTGTCATGCACTCAACGAAGAACGACGATTATCATGATTTGTCCATGAACGACAACAGCATACGATTCGTTCAATTGATGGCTCTATGAATGGATGACCGAATAAGCAGTGAAAACCAAAAGTGAAAGCCTGATATTACTATTGTATTGCTCACATCACCTTTGTTACTCTCATTCATTACTGTCACTTTCACAATTGTTGCTCTCATTGTTGCTAATAGTATAAATTTGAATTTATTAACTTCACGTCAATAAATTCAAATAATATAATTGTTAATCGTATAATTTGATCAACCAATTAATTTCACGTTAATTCTTCACTTGATGAACATACATAAATAGGTCAATNCTCAAGAAATCAGTCCAGTCAACGCTTAAGGAGCACATCGCTAAAAAGAGGACAAACCGAAATGAGGTTTCGATCCTCATCGTCGTAACAAATGCGTGCTGTGCTGACTTATAATTAATGATTATGTCGTTATAATTGTAGCAACGATGCCCTTAAAGGCGAAAATTTTTGCAACATTTCAAATTTCTCCGCAATGAACCTTCTCACTCTTCAAATGTCATATTACAGCATGATACGTATCCAAAGGAATCAACTTTGCATAACATAATCAGATAGAAATGTTTATATATGAATTTATGGAAAATTTAAACATATATAATACAATCAAGTTATTAGAACAATAGCGATCAAAATATGACAAAAATAAAAAATTCAATGCGTAGACCACGACATAAATAAACAAATAAATATTAGTTTCATAGGAATAATCGAAAATTCTATGGAACTTTGTCAAATCTCTTCAATCAACTGTTATAGCACAACCAATAGCACAATGTCAAGATTTCGAAAATTCCAGCCTCGGAATTATATCCCGGATTCGTTTTTCAACCCAGTTTAATTGAAACGGTCATAGACGGAGGTCAAAACAGCCGTAATGGCGAAAGATGGAGTAAGAGCGATAAAATTAGGAAAGTTTTTGCGCACTGCTTTCTGACCTAGTGATAAAAGCTACCATACAATGATCTGTTCATTCACTGCGACTGTCATGGTAAATCGCAAATGTTACTTGAATATAAATGANAAAGTTACCATACAATGATCTGTTCATTCACTGCGACTGTCATGGTAAATCGCAAATGTTACTTGAATATAAATGAATTGAGAATGGTTGACATGCAATTCAAGATGATCATATGACCAAAATTGAATAAAATATCGGGATTTAACAAATCCCTAGGTCTCAGGATGTCTCAAAATACAAATCCTACGATCAGAATACAACAGAAGGGATCCCGTACAGACATCACACAGTGTAAAAGAGATAATGCAATAAGTAAAATTAATTAAGAATAAATCGTCGAACTTTCAACACGAACAAATTAGAAATTACAGCAACTCAAAACATTTCCATCTACCACAACTAGATCCATACAGAACAAATACGTCAGTGATATCATCAAATGATTCCAAATAATACAATTTCACATGATAGTGCATTCACTAACAGCAAAATCGAAAATGCTGAATCTTTTTTTCACATGCGGTTTCTTATTAAGAGATGATGATTAGTAATGACAGAAACATTAGTAACTTCAAAGAGAATGCCATCAAATAATCAACTGAACATTAGGCACAGAAACAACTACAACAATGAGAAAAAAACAGCAACTTATTATCAACGTGGTGATTGAGAAAACAACGCAATAATCCAAATAAATTAGACTTCTGACGGACAATAATCACATATCTTGAAAATAATACAAGAAGAAATTCCACAGCAAGTTCCTCCATAAAATATTTCCGTTTCAAATACGCATAACAATCCATAAAATTCTCCATTCATTCAATACTTTCACTCGAACAAATCAATACAAAACATTTTTTTCTCACATCGTAAAGTTATTTCTCTGTTC